TGGGGGCCAGGGTGGTCCACATGGTCGCGGGCATCGGTGTTGCTGGCGAGCACATCAGGAAACTGAAGGCTAGGCGCGCCCTCGTCCAGACCTTGGGAGCTTCTTGGGTCTCGGTGGGGGGCTTGATCACCGATTGCTGAGCTGATAACATTGTGTGAGTTCCTGCACATGGCCAGCGCACGCCTGAGTGCACCTGCTGCAGTTACCTTCACCTGTAGTCAGGGGCATCGCACCTTGATTGCCTATGCGTTGGCATCGGAGACGGGTGCGGCGTACCTGCGAGTCTTTTCGTACTGGGCGTCCCCTTTTAAGACGCATGCCTGTCTGGAGATCACGTTGCCGCGTGAAGATCTGATGCCAGAGGTAACGAAACGATGAAAACTTACGGGATTTCCACTGGTTCAGGGGCCTGATCATCCCTGGGTCTGGCATCTTGAGCGCGCCTTGGTTGATTGTGTGTTCCCGTCGAGAAATCGATGCCCTATTCGTCCCTCACGTTCGAGAGCATGCGTCCGATGCCCGTGCCGATACCTACCTATTTTGGTCTAGAGCCTCTGAGAAGAAAGCCCTTGGTAGGAGTCACTCGCGTGAGCATGAGGACTGAGCAATATGGTGGAAGGAAGGATCTCATGAGTACCAGGCGGACTATTTTCCAGTGCTAGCAGTGGTTGTGGCACAATTTATGCTGCTCCTGTCCTGTGTTGTTGGTCTCACCTCTCCAAGGGACCGTTCGAGCTGAGGGTTGCGCTGGGACATGGCCGTAGTAACCTTCCCGTGATTTGAGAAGGAACGTTCGGCATCCACCTAGAAACCTGTCTCCTGCCAATCTGCGTCGTGTCTGCCTGATCCTGCCCTCTTCAGCGTGGCAGGCTCAGCATGCCCAGCTCGTGTCGGGAGATCCCGATCTCTTGTGATTTCCTGATCGCCGAATGCTGGATTGCGCTCGGGCAAGCCTGGGCGGATGCCCGGACCAACTCAGCTGAGGCAATGGAATACTGATGTATTACGGAAACTCCGAGGAAGGAACCAAGACAGGCACGCGCGTGGCTCAAGAGGGGATTGGGGAAACCGAACACTGTCGGACCCCGCCCAGGGTGTGCTTCCGCTTCCCGAAGAACACGCTGAAACATCGGGCCAAGGCTTGGGAAGGTTTGTGGACGGCGGGGGAGACTGAGGCTAAGGAACTTCGGGCAGCCTTTGAGTAGAGCCAAGGGTCGAGAGCGCCTTCCTCTGCAGGACCGCCGAAACATGGGATGTCGAGGTGGTCAAGCGCCTCGCAAATTAAGACGACGACGCTGTGCAAAATCCAGCCAGTCGCTTATGTCCAAAGTTTTGGCCTGACGCCAAGCGTGGCGCATGAAATACAACTTGATCTAACAAGTTGCTTTCGACCCTTGACATCCGTTGGGGGTGTTCTGCAGGCCTGACCCCCCAGCCCTGCTCAAGGTAGTCTTGCAAGAACTCCGAATTCGAACTTCTGGGTGTCTCCCTGAATTGTCTGACATCGAGTAAAGTGATGTGCGCGATACAACTCGTCTGTTTTCTGTATGCGAGGCTGTGGGGGTGGGTCACTGGCGGCTTCGGGATTTCATGAGAGCTCAGACCACCACTCTCGAAGATCTCGTCAAGCTCTATCAATTCTGCCAGGAGGCCCTGATGTGGCCTGAGTAAATTGTGCTCAGCGTTATCTCGCTATTGCCCACAAACGAGGTCGATGAGAGACCCGTCTGTGCTCACCGTTCTGTGTCTGGGTACACACGGCGGTCAATGCTACAGGCATCTCATTCCCATTCCAATTCCCTTTCCCTCTCTCCGACCCCTGATCGCCTACACTCCTCCTTCCCCTACTCCTCTCTCCCCCCCTCCTTCCAGTCTCCTCCACCTCCTCCGCCTCCTCCTCCTCCCCCTCCGTCTCCTTTTCCTCGCCTCCTCCATCTCCCCCTCCTCCCTCCCCGTGCCCCTGCCCCACCGCCAGCGGGAGCAGAATACGCGTGCATCTACGCTGGCGTTCGTTCTCAGCGCTGTCTTCCGCTCCCCCCACACCCTGTCTCGCGAAATAATACCATAAAATCCCATCGGCATAACACACCCTGGGAAACCGCACAGGCAGGCCGGGGCCCAGCTGGGGCCTCGAACCGCAGATCCTGCTGGGCTACCAGGACCATCATGTCTCCAGATACGCCAGAGGGTAGAAGGCCGAGATATCATCTCCTGCGGAAATCTTTGGGGACACTGTGTATGCTACCAGTGACGATCTTTCCGTCGGAGGCGCAGGCGTTTGCAAGGGAGTCCCTTGTGGTCAAATTCGCCAATCCTGAGTGCAACAATCGTGGTCGAAGATATCAACGCAAGGGGGCCCGACAAGGACCACTACTGGTGCCACGGCGGGAAGCAGTTCGTCGTCGTCCGCCACCGCGGCTTCGAGAACCCAAGCAGGCGCAGTCGAGTGCGAAGGAGAAGTCCGTGTATGAACGTGTGCGTCGGGAACAATGGTTACAACATCCTGGACAACTACGAGGCGCGTATTCGTGGGTTTACGATGGCATGATGGGGCTCAGGTTGGGGGATGATCGTTGTTACGGACCGCTCCGCACCCTAGAGGAACGTTTAGACAATCAATGTATGGCTTATTGTGCAGCATATTGCCCATGTGTTAATTTCCCACGGTCGGGGAAAGCAAATACGGGTGCTGGCTTCTTCTACCGTGCAAGGGAGGTGGTCAATTTTGTCCGTCCAAGTGGGGCTCGTCGTATGGCGGCCGTCATAGTGATGGAATACCGCATCGTTTGGCGCCGTTCAATGTCCCACCGCTCACCACGCTGTGGCGGCAATGCAATACTCAGTGGTTGGAGTGGTCCCGCGGTGTTCGGCTTCCCTTTCGGGTCATCTCGAAAAATGTGAACCGCCTGTGGCTGTACCGATGGCGAGAGGTTCTGGAGCGGGCTCGGACAAATACCATTGCATGGGTCGGTGCCTTGCCCACGCCTATGGGCGTCATCAGAGGGATCGTGGGTTATCGTGACCGTGACCGATTCGACCACCGTGGACAGCGAGACCGCGACGGTGATCGTGACCGTCGGAGGGGCCGCAAGACCCGTTCGAGTTCCTCGTCGGAGTCGAGGAACAACCAGGGGGTGCGCCGCTTGGGTCGCCACAAGGGGGGATGTACACGCACGACCCGTCGTACGCGGCGTTCTTGGACCAGCGGGAGCAGGAGCTACGTGAGATCGAGGTTCGCCGACAGCGGGAGATCATGGCCAGGGCAACGCAGGGGTCGATCGGTGGCGCACTCCAGGAGAACAGCATCCAGCTCCACACGTCCCAGGGTGGGGGCGGTGGAGGTCTGCCGCCGTCGCCAGGGACGTCCACACCTGCGGACCCAGGACCAGCCCCCAGCCCAGGCGTGTTGCCAGGGGAGACCGGTACGGTTGACGCGGGGGACCTCACGAACATCAAGCGCATGCTCGTTGAAGCGCAGTTCGGGTACGTCGTTGGGCTGGAGGACGGGAAGGAGTCTACGTTCAAGGCGGCGTTCTCCAGCTCGTGGGGCAACCGCAAGATATCCCAGATTGCAAGCACGCTATTCCAGAGGCAAAAGATCACGGAGCCCAAGCGTAAGGACGAAAAGATATCGGAGTTGTGGAAGTATTATCAGAACCTCGCCTGAGAGATTGCCGAGCCTCTCTTAGACGCGTACGGTGCTGAGGTCTATGCTCCGAAGGTGGAGTGCTCTTTTGTGCAGAATCAGTTCAGGTTGTACATGAGTATGTTATGCTTGGGATCGTTTTTCGTGTTCTTCGTCGGCTGTGGGTCGCATATGTCCGTGCTCCAGTCCGCGTTTTTCTACGAATATCGCTTACTGAATGGCCAGGCCGCCCCTTTCCTGTGCCCGTCTTTCTCACAGGAGATCGCAGGTAGTCCTGCGGCAGGTATATCTACTCTTGGGATCTATGAGAAGGGGTGGGGACAACTGTCAGGACCGCTCGAGGCCGCTAACCAAGTCGAACCTTTTCTGGTTTTCTCCCCTCCACTCTCCGCTCGCTCCTCCTCTCTCCTTCCCTCCCTTTCCTCCCCCGCTCCCCACAAAAAATCCCCACGTGAGGATTGCCTCATGTGTGCCTGGGACGTTTCTTGTGCCCTGGTGGGTTCAATGTGTGAGCCACTGTCCTGTGCTTGGCAGCGACCTGTAGAGGTCTGTAGTTGGGCTTGGGTGCACCCTCCTTCCCCCTCTTGAGGACCCGAACCTTCCTCCTCCACCAGGTGTGTACCCAGAAGTCCGTCGAACAGGATTTGCCGAGGAAGATTTCAATCACAGGTTTGAGTCTGACCCTATTGCGCTGTATCCTATCCCAGCGCGGAGGGACACACTTTCTTCCCGTGGGCGCGTGTGGCTCGAGGAGGAGCCCCAGGGGAGCCCGCTCTTCCGCATGGACGCTCAAGGAAGTGCTGGCGGTCCGTCGGTCACAGATCGACCCCCGAGCGGCTCAGTGGTGCAAGGAAAACAGATCGGAGTTTCGGGCCTACGCCTACCGCCAGCCTCGAACCGATCTGCATCCCATTCATCGCCTTGGAGAACACACACACACAAATGTATACACACACACACATCGAACATGCAAATACCATCTTGGGGGCGCGGCTGACGGCAATGCTGGCGCTGGCCGTCAAGGGACCACAACACCTGCCCAGATCGCGTCCTAAAAAAGGGGATGGATCAATGGACGCGTGCCCATCCCAAACTCCTCTTCTGGACCCCCTCCAGCCGTTGTCGAGTCCAGAGAGAGCAGTTCGCCATGGTCCTACGGGCACGCACACATGCGCAGTCGCGCGCGGAGGCGCGCCCTGCGCAGGCTGTGCAGTCCGCTGCCGCCCCACCCGCGTTCGCCCGAGGCTCTGTCGTGAGCAGCCTGCGAAGCCCGCTCGGGGCTCGTCGCCCCCTCGTGCCCCGACGCGCGCCCAGTGGAGGCCCCCAGCCTGCAAGACCCCCCCTCTCGCAGCGCCTGTGAACAATCTGCACCGAGGCGCCGTTCAGCAGGAGCTCGAGCATCATGGGGCGCCCCACATGGTTGCTCGCGCCCACGACGACGCAGCGCAGACCTGGCGGGAAGGTGTGTGTTGTGTGTGTGTGTGTGTGTGTGTGTGTGTGTGTGTGTGTGTGTGTGTGTGTCTGTGTTTGTGTTTGCGTTTGTGTATGTGTGTGTGTGTGTGTGTGTGGCGTGCGTGCGTGCGTGCGTGCGTGCGTGCGTGCGTGCGTGCGTGCGTGCGCAGCGCGCAGCGCGCGCGCGCGCGGAGCGGGCGGGGCGGGCGGGCGGCGGGCGGGCCGGGCGGTCGGGGCGGGCGGGCGGGCGGCGGGCGCGGGGCGGGCGGGCGGGCGGGCGGGCGGGCGGGCGGGCGGGCGGGCGCGCGGGCGGGCGGGCGTGCGGGCGTGCGGGCGTGCGGGCGGGCGTGCGTGCGTGCGGGCGTGCGTGCGTGCGTGCGTGCGTGCGTGCGTGCGTGCGTGCGTGCGTGCGTGC